GTTTAAAAATGCAATAATCATATATTTATTTATGAATTAAAAATATTTTATTAATTAAATATAATATTAATGTCACAATTATACAATTAATGGTCACATATATATAATTATAGGTCACAACTTATTTATTGATCACATATTATCAAGTTAATTAGTCACATATTATTTTGAAATCACAAATCAAAAAATATGTCACAATTTATTTATCGATCATACATTTTTGAATTTGTTGCTCGGAAAATATTTTTTAATCACAAACTATTGAATTTTAAGGTCATAATTAAATAATTGGTTACAGGTAAACCAACCAGTAGGTTACATATCATCGCTACAAACACTATCACCACACAGTCATTGCCACCACGACCACTTGCGACCACCCTCACCCCGTCATTGTCACCACCACCACCAACACCACAACATCACCACCAACAAATCCAATTTACTACCAACAAAAATCACGACAACCACCTTTATCAGATCTCCAACCACTTCCACTACCAATAACCACCACTATAACATTCAACCACGACCGCTACTATTGCACTACTACTGCTAGTAACAACCCAACAACCAAAACAATCGCCAGTGAGTGAGAATAGAGAGCATCCATCTCTATCTAGCACCACACCACACCACACCACACCACAACCAGCACCCAATAAAAAAACCCTAAACCCATCATCGCCACCACCTCACATACACCAAGTAGTTGGTCACATACCACTACCAACACGATCACTTACGACGATCATCATCATCACAAGCTAATAGTTCCATCATCAACAACACAGGCCATCGTCAGCAACATAGACACAGCCTCAACAACCTACCACCACCACCAGCCAATTCACTACATTTCACTTCTGACGATGAACTAGGTATAGTGGCAATGCCACCTTACCACCACCATGACCGCCTCCCGTCGCCTCATATCACAACCCACAAACGACATACAAAACCACAAGCTTCATCGATGCTCAACCACACATATCGGAAAAACACATGTTGGGAATGGAGGTAGTTCACCACCAGCGCAGCGACGCCGATCTCAAAGCGTCACCTCTGGCGAAGCGTCATGAGTAACCACTATAGCTTTGCGCCATCAATGTTGTGAGCGACTGAGCGCCGCGCTGGCAATGTTGTTGCGGGTTATCACTCGTAGCGGTGCTATAGATCGGTAATGCTGGAGAAACATTAGTCACCGATCTGTAGCGCTGGAGAAAGAAGAAAATGGGGAAAGAAATAAAGAGATGGAGTCAGCGATCTTCCATAGCATTGGCCAGATCTGTGATGCTACGTCGCGTGTTTGTAAGCCAATAGCCGACGATGCTCTGATTGTATTGTGTGATAGAGAGATTATGAAGAGTGGAAAGTGATATAAGGAGATAATGGAGTGGAGAAGTAATTAGGGTTTGAGAAATTTGGTGGGGGTAGGATGGAGTATATAAATTAATTTAATTTTATAATAATATTAATAATTGAATATTACCTGATTTTTTATTAAATAAATTCTACGCCTGCTTTTGTGAATTGTGACCTTTAAAGATAGGGTATGGTGCAAATTTTCCCTAATTTTTATCATCTTATTATTGAATGAAAATTGAAAAAATAAAAATAAAAATAAAAAATTAGGTGCCTCCAAACTTGAAGACCCAAGCATTGTTCTTTCTAGATGGCAGCCCACGTGGCTGCAATTATTATTATTTTTATGATTTTTACAAAACTAAATTGCACATAAGGTCTCTGAATTGTCTGACTACTACAATTTCAACCCTGAAACTTCATAACTTTTAAATTTTGTCCTCCAGCTTTTCAACATGTTCAAGTCGGTCTCAACTTTTGAGTAAGACTCATTGGTTCTTGATTCCAGGTTTCCCCATGTCTTTAGTCCATTAGTTCTACATTTTGTACACTTTTGATTCTTCTACTTCAAATTGCCCAATTAAGCTCCAATTGACCTTCTTTTTGCTCAATTCATCATCAAGTCGAGGCTTTTACCTCCACAAGATTTATATGATTATGAGTAAATATTCATTCAATAAATCAGTATTATGTGAGTTTGAAGTCTACATATGCGTGCAAAACACACTTAACAACTATCAACTACTGGATTAGATAAAATAAATGAGGCACTAGAAAATGTTAAAACAACGCTATTTGGGTTCTTTGGCAAGGTTGATAGTAGAATACTGGATAAAGGAAAAACAATAAGCTGCCTTCATTGGGCAAATATATAAATGGTTTATAAACAGTAATGGTAATGCGTCCCATAAAATGTACAGATAATAATGAGTAGTAGTTATGAATGTGTTATTAAAATGAATATTTGATCTTGATTGAGTAAATAAATCATTTATAAGTTCATATCTAAATAGAGGCTTAAACATTACATACCCACATAACTTGCTCATAAAATAAAATGCATGTTTGACCAAACTTAAATAAGTAACTTTCATAATAAATAAATCTTCTAAACGAAAATGGTAAAAGTTATAATAATTCATTTACTTAGTAAGAAATTCTCAATCATTGTCAAAATTAGTAAATTTTTGCTCATTTTTATAATCTTAATCAAACATTTTCGAAGAATCGGATAATTTGTTCAATAAACTTGTTTGATTTGTTTTTGGGTGATGCCTATTATGGTTAAAGAAGATCAATTCATATATTCCCACTTTTTGAACCATTTTTGGTAATAATGTTGCAAAATATTTCTATTATATAAAGAATAGGCCATCTATAACAAAGAGACACAAGTATGGCAGACCTGTAAGATCTTCGCGGTAAAATATCTATATATATATTTTTTCTTGAAAGTGTACAATAATGAGTGAACGTAGCTATCACATCAACGATAAGCTCCTTAAATTTGGTTGGATACTTGGATGCCTATGTAACTTTTTGTTTTATATATTTTTCATACAAGTATCAAAGTCACATTAAGTATACAGTGCATATTGTCATGTCATTGATGTGATATCTTGGAGATATTGTTGACATGTTTGGTAAGTTAAAACTACACAACATTAAGAAGAGAAAAATGTGAATTGCTTGTCGATTAATTGTCATATGACTCATATCTAGTGTGCAGTTTAATCTTTATCTCAGTTATACAAAAACAAATTGTTGAATATAAATAATAATCAATTCAATCCAATCTAATAGTTTAAACTATTAATTATTAGATAGATTTATCAACTTTGAATAATATTAGAACAAGATGTCTTTAATTCAAGTCTTATCGGCTATAATTATTTATTGTAGTTTTGTCATGGATTCATACGGTAACGTCTGTAAAGAATGTTGTGCAATAATATATCTTTTTGCATCTTATTTTTAGTCAAGTTTGCAACCAATTTTCAGCAATGACAAGAACCTTTTGTCGAGACCGACAGTTTCACTTTCGAGGTGTGATGAAATATTTTGCTTGAACTTAAACACAATTAATGTCTTTAAATGATAATTCTATTTCAGTGATAATATAAATGCAGAACATATAACGTCAGCATTATGACATGTAAAAAAATCACGGACAAGTTAGGAACAATAATATTTTGTCGGAACTGACAATTGAATTGTCGAAATGTAATGAAGTAATCTGTCTATTTGAGAACTTTACAATGAAGTTATTGCTATAGGACTAATGTTTGCAAACGATAATGATAATATAACTTATAAATGCACAACGCCATCTTTCGGTCAGAAAAATACAACTTCAACTAGTTTCGAACATCAAGTCTATGTAAGTGAGTGGTGTTACAATACTATCACGGCGAGTGCATTTCTTGATTCGTAGGGTATACTCGTATCTGAATCGCTTGTGTCATATGGGTAGTTTTATCACTCTCTACTTCCATTCGTCATCCACATGAACAAAATTTTCCTTATGTGATACAATGAATCTCAAATGATTACTCATACTTAAGAAGTTGAGATTACAATGATAAGGATTCTTCACAATTAATATGTCAACATTTAATAGTATGAAAGTGACACATTCTCGAATATTTAAATCCATACTGTAGTAAAAGGTCAAACTAGCAATTGAAATGTCTATACTAACATTTTTCAAATATAGAATTCGATAATTAAAATATCTATTTTGACAATTTCAAAATGTCGAGTTCGACAATTAAAATGTCTAACCAATGATTTCTGTAGGTCGAGTTCAATAGTTGAAATTTCAGAAGTGACGGGAAGCATATATGTGAGTGATTACAACAAATTCTTCATCACATTAAGTTTGGTAATCAATATTGTACTATCAAATGACAAAATCTTCTTCCTAAATAATTCGCATAATAAATCATTAAAATGGGAATCCCTGAAAATATTTATTGGGTTTGATTGAAAGAAATTATTCAAAACATTAGTGGTAATAATCAATTCTCAAGTACATGACAATATATTTCAAATAAATCAATGTTTCATTAAATATGGAATCCTTTACAACATTTTGTAGAGGATTTAAAAGATTTTAAAAATGAAACAGATCAACGAAGAAGAGTTTCAAAAATTTTAAATAGATATGACCATGTTGTAGTTAAAATTTACAAAACAGTAAGTTATAAGATAAAAATATAAACAATTTATAATATTAACATCTCAACATGGATGATGAATCCAATAATAATATCTTATTGATGAAGGAATGAAAAAGATGGATAAGAAGTTATGATTTGCTAATCGTAAGAAGATATGTGTTTATGTTAACTTTTCAAATTATTTTATCTTCTTTCTTCTTCTTTTTTTTTTTTTTTTAACCAAATTCATAATCATATATATAATCACATCATAACATTAATGACATTCAAATCAAGTATTAAATGTTCCTAAAAATGTTTCACTAAGGGTAATTAGGACCTTTCACACCAAAAGTGACATTTTTGAGCATGTTTAATAAAAATAATTTTTTTTCCTTTTTTTTTTTTTTGTGAATTTTCAAATTTAGTGTTTTTGATGACCAAGTCCAAGATTCCAAGGTTGGGACTATGGAGTAAACATACATGAGATCCCAATTCAATATAGAAATAAATGATTGTATCTCAACATCAATATTACAAATAGAAACAACAATACTCCCTCAACAAATCAAATCACTGAAACTAAATTAAACCCCCAACCCCTAAAGAATACCCTATAATCGAGGCAACAAATTAATAGTATTTCAAAGCAAAAACTCCAAGCACGGCAAGAAGAAGCAAAGGCGAAGCACTGAACAAAGGGTGAGCCGCCGATGGGGTCACTCCTGCTCTGTTCCCTGTATTGCTTGTTGGGGCTCCTGGGCCGGTGGTTGCCGATGGTGGAGTTGGAGTTGCATCGGCTTCTGGAGAAAGTGGTGGCGACAGGGGCTCTGGAGAGGTCGGAGCTGCAAAACAAAATAATATTAAATCCCGGGTCCAATAAGGGGAGTCCAGTGATCCCTCATAATGTTGAAATATTTGCCTATAAAAGGTAGAGCTATTAGATTGAGAAACACATTTATTTATTTGTTTGAAATTAATTTTTGACATGTCCCTTGCGTACACGCCAAACTCAATTTAGCTGCAAAAAAGACTATATAAAATCCCGGGTCAAATAAGGGGAGTCGAGTGGCCTCAAATTGTTGAAACATTTTCCGATAGAAGCTAGAGCTGTTAAAGTGGGAGATGCATTTATTTATTTAATTTTAGCTTTTGACAGGCAGAAATTAATTGACTTCGTCACAAGCTTGACACATGTACCATTCTTATAGTTATGCACTGTAATAGTACCTTCAGAAGTAGGAGATGGAGCAGATTTTGGTGACATCGTTGGTCCAAATGCTGTTGGACTTGGAGCTGGAGCTGGAACTGGAGCACCAGATGCTGCAAGATGAACTCAAACACCGGATTAGTAAAATCTAAACTTCGTCAAAAAAAAAAAAAAAAAAAGAAGAAGAAGAAACGAAGTCTCATTCTTAGTAAATTCAGGAAAAATAAAATAAAATCTAAACTGCAGGACCAATGATATCTCACCTTTGCACTGGAGGGGCACACTGGGCATGTTACAGGCGCGGGGGAGAGAAATGGCTAAGGTCCGGTTGATGGGCATGTTAAACGGAACACTACCGGTCGTCATGAGGCAGAAACAGTCCTTGCCACTGCTCATTAAAGATCTGAGTGAATTGCAGCAATCTGCAGGAGGAGAAGTCCCATTAAGGCTACTATTAGTAAGGAAATTCATGCAAGGTGTGAAGGTAGAAATCATTGAAGGGGTGCATGGTGTAGTGATTTGGGCATAAATAGGCAAAGTTAGGACCGTTAGGGAAATTGCTAAAGTCAGGATCAAGAATTGGGTAGCCATGGAATGGGATGTGTTTGTATATTTTTTAAGTTTTGGAGAAGTTGAGGATTGTGCGGTCTCAAGGGAAAGTTGGAGATGATGTGCTTCAAGAATTTGTTGTGAATTTATAGATGGAAGGAAGAATAATGGATTGTTTTCAAGTGGAATTGTGGCTCAACTACCTTAACAAACTCCTCTTTTGGATTATTAAATTAATCAAGTTGAAATGCTTTTTGTTTTTGGCCTATTGGTTCTTTGCTATAATTTTCCTTTTGAGTTCCCATGTGTATCTCTTCAATTGACTTGTTTCGTAGTATTAGGTTTCCACATATGATTATTGGTGAATTTTAGGCCACCTTGATGTTATGATGCAATAATTAACAATTGGACCGGAAAAAAAAATTTCGACCAAGCAGTGAAGAACATATCACATTATGGGTTTGCAGTAAATTACAAGCTTGTTTAGGGATGATTTTCTGAAAATCAAATTTTCTTTTAAATTGATTTCATTTAGACTTTACCTAATCCATAACTTTTTCATACGCATGTTCTTTAAAAATTAATTTTTCACTTTGAAAATTTTTCTTTCAAACAAGTTCTCTATATAAATGCAATAATAAATCAGTAACTTCGTGTAGTGGCCTCATGTATTGCCTCCCTCTTCACTAGCTTACCGGCAAGCAAAAAATTATTCATATAGTGACTCGAAAATTTATTAGAAAATATAATTTACTTTATTGTTATTTTTCGAAAGTTCGAATATTTTTCCCCATTTTGGAGCATATTTGATAGGTGAAATTCTACTTTTTTCCCCTTAATATTGTAGATAGCTATATAGTTCAAACAAATTATTAATGTTACATATAAGAGTTGAATACCTATACGTACATAGAGTTAGAGGTCTAAATGTGGTCTGTTTAGAGTGTGCATAGGTCTCAAGGTACATGACCCTTGCAAGCCTTTCGCAGGCCCCGCCTTAGACCTCTAAAAAATATTAGATGATCAACTAATACCTAATCAACAGATAACAAAAGTTGATTTAAAAAAAAAAAAAATGACAGCAACATCATACCAAGCCAAAACTATTATGTTAGGTGATCAACCACAAGTTTCCATCATATATTAATAGGAAATTAACAAGAAACTATTGATACTGAAGAATAAAATTACATAATTTCCTGTTCTACATAAATCGCTCGTCTCGTTATGACACTTTAACTTGTACAAGTTAATTAATTGGCCGTACTCTTACCTCATAAACCTTTATTAGTTGGTAACTCTGCCTCTAATCAATCATCTCAGCATATAGTAGTATAAATCATTCCATTCCTCAGTTGATCCTACAAACTTGTCTTTATTAATATTTGTCCTTGAGAGTCAAAAGAGTTCACCAACACATCAAGCACGTGTTCGCCATTCAGTACTTGATAAAATTGAATTTTTATTAATAGTTAAACATCATTTTTAGATACACATTTTAATGGATCAACAAGTACTATTCACTTAACCATCTCTTATTTCAATCTATTTATAAATTAAACCACTTAAATTTCTTCCAAATCAAGCTTAAATATAGTGATACAAGTCTTTTACGATGACATATCAATCAATCGTTACTTTGTGAATTTACTTGGCATAAAATGATTCTACAAGGACACAATTGGGACCCAACGACAATCAAAAGGACGTCACTATTAAATAAATAAAAAATAAGCTTCACCACTAATAGTCGCTTTTTGTGAGCAATGCTCAAATATTATTCCCCAAATTCTATCAATGCAAAACCACCAACCTTTGGGTTCGAAGGAAAAGAACCAAGTTCGGCGAAGCTGGCCAAACAGAGTCTTATAATCGAACCTAAACACTTGAAACGGATTGGATCTTCGATGAAGCAAGTATTCTATCTCTTCAAAAGGAAGAAGTGCAAATATCTTAAGTTGGGGCACGAGCATTTAGAGGAGCATGTAGAAAATATGATTTACAGAATCTTGTAAAAGTAACAACCAATTCAATAGGCAGCAGTCGCATGTCATAGATTATCTAGAGTTGCAACTTGTTATATGCTCACCAATAACAATGTGACACGTGTCCAAACAATGCTAAAAGATGAAAAAGCCCATAGGCTTGAAAAATCTATAAATACCCCATAAATCTATTAGGAAATTAACCAATACTAGAAATTCTCGCCAAATTCTTGCTCTTCATACTCAAAGTCTTCACTTGATGGCGGGTGCCATTGTGAAATGTTTAGATCCGGGGTTCCTGACAATCAAAAAACAACTTAATAAAGTGATTAGATGAGGAGGTGGAAAGAGACTTGTTAGCTTCAACCTTTTGGGGTCAACAATTTTCATCGTTCGTGGGAAATAATACGATTTTCACAATACAAACTACTAGAAAAAGCATTTGGAATTGAGAGTTTTCTAAAAAAATTCCACAAGGTTGAGTGAACTCAATGAGAGGAGTATTAAGAATAAGGCAGAAATACAAAGGGCGATGAGAAATTCTAAAAATTAAAAGCATCTCCTCAATCCTGAAAATTTGTCCAATCGAAGCTATAAAAACACAATAGGCGCAGAGATCCTATAGTGGGCAAACAATAACCCTTCTTTAATGCCTTTATGAGATAGGGCTTATCCACAGGTATGGTTTCCATAGACTTCTTCATATCCCCCTCATGATTTAAGCAGATTAATCCACAGTTATACTTTGTAGAGTAAGTCATTATGAAGAAAGATTTACCAGCTTACAGCAGAGCTTGCAGGCTCCTTTCTTGTCCTCAGGGAGTTTATGTTCCTTTAAATAGGTGGTGATCTCCTTCATCCACGGAGAGGGTTCGCCAACCCATATTGCTACCTCCTCCGCTGGGTTTTTCTAGATTAGTGAGCTTGTGAAATTGCTCGATAGTGACCAGTCCCGTAAATTCAGAGTCCCCGATAGCTTCAGTAATCATTTTTAGCCTTGGTATCTGTATGAGTTCAAACTTTTCAAAATATTTGGCGAGTCAATGACCAATTTTAAGTATGTCGCCGTCATATTCTCTCAAGCATTGAAGTTCCTGTTGATTTGCCTCACCAGCAGTTGTGAGTCGTTGTATACTTGGAATCTTTTTAAGCAACTTTCCTTTACCAGTCCCAGACCTATCAACTTTGCTTTGTATTCTGCAACATTATTTGAGTATTTGAAATCAAATCTAAGTGTACAGTTAAAATTATGCCCTTCAAGACTAACAAGCTGCTTGCGCCTGCCCAGGTTTGTCAGAAGATCCATTAACTTAACTTTTCTAGTTTGAAAAGATATAATAATGAACTATTGGTTTTAAGCCATTTCAGACTACTAACAATAATTTGAAAAGTTTTTTTTTTTTTTTCCTTCACTTTAAATCCAAAAAAAATTCTCTCACTTATGTTCAGTATTGATTAAAAGAGGGAAAAGCTCATTTTAGAATAAATGTTTCAAATAACTTTATGAAACTACATCGGCTTGCGAGTGGAAATTGCACCTAGAAGGTATGCAAACTCTGCAGAAAGACTACAAGGGCCTGGCCTTCGATCAAGGATTGAGACTTCAAGTTAATCAGCCTGATGTGTCATGTTTTTTTAAGGCTAATCTTAGAGGATCATTGTAAGTACGTTGATGTTATGTGTCTGGAAATGGGTGCACAGCTTTTGAACGTGAGAGTAAGGGATAAAGCAAGCTTATCCCTGTTTGGGTACCCAGTCTCCGTATTCTTTATGGTCAGTCTCAAGTAATTTACATGTAACGGCTACGAATTAAGTTCTTTAACCAGAAAGAATTTGTCACCTTGGTTGACCTACAAGCACATGGGAGTGAGACCCGCGTGGGATCCATATATATAAAATTTCAAATAAGCGCTCCCCTATTTTGAGTGTGCTAAACCCTCCCTAACAATGTAGCAGCATTGAATTTGCCACCTTGGTTGACCTACAAGCACAAGGTTTTGCATGTATGAGGGAAGGGCAAAAGGAGTGCTGGATGCTTTCAGTGCCTAAAATGCCAATTCACATTCTTTCATTAAAGCAGGGGCGGACCCACATGGGATCATGTGGGATCAAATGACCCCACAGTTTTCTGAAATTTTTTTTTTTTTTTGTGCTGAAAACTTAATTTTCTGCCCCAAAAAGTCCAAATTCTAAATCTATATCCATATCATATGGTCCATATCCATTATTTAGTCCATAAATATATCATATAATCCAACGATTTCTTCCCAAAGTGCACATATCGAACATGAACAGCAAACAACCGATTTTTCCTTTTTTTTCATAATACATTGTTCGAAAAAAAAAAAATTTGACCCCACAGTTCAAATGGTCTGAGTCCGCCCCTGCATTAAAGTGAATCTTTTTCCCCTTTGATTGTCTGAAATTATGGATAGCGTCAATATATGGCTTTAGAGGTGAAACGACTCAATGTTGCTACTCTACCCATCAATCTCTGCATTTCTTTCGGTGATGAACGGGAATGTAACTTTGATAGCCTTGATATTTTTGGGGTTTACATCTACTCTTCTCTAGTTTACCTCTATGCCAAACTCCCATTCACTCCGAACTAATAAAAGGAGATTTTCTAATCCTTAAACAAAAATTTGTTGTCAACGAGGAATGGTGAGGTAAACCAGCCTCAGAGAGAAGGCCTCAATGTCTTACAGGGGGTATAGAAGGTCTTGAATTTCTTCAGGGAGATGTCCTGCCGTTTTTTCGCAAACTTCCAGATGATGAAGGTGTAACGACCCGGACCTCTTGCCCAATTGGTACCAGGATTAAACTTAAGTCTTTCTTATGTAGAGGTCACGAGTTCAAATCCTGGGGGACGCGAAGGGACCTCTCGCCCAAGCCGTTAGCTTAGTATTGTCCGCTTTGGGTGAGCATTGCGCTCACTTATCCCTCACGGCTTTCTTCGCGTCCCCCAGGATTCAAACTCGTGACCTCTATATAAGAGAGACTTAAGTTTAATCCTGGTACCAATTGGGCAACGTTACAGAAGACACCAAGGATGAACTTCAACCAATGTGGATTAAGTTGGATCAGTTCTATCCTAAACTTGTTGAATAGCTCTTGCACAAACGGATAGAGATCAGCTA